GCACTCACCTGGCTCGTTGAGCTGCAGCCCGCAGTCCACGCTGCCCCCCAGGCGGGACCCCTTCCTGCTGCAGTCGGGGGGCTGCCAGCCCGGGTGGCAGTGGCAGTTGCCTTTGTTGTTGCACACCTGTGCAGGGCAGGGGTACAGGAGTGCAGTGAACCCTCACAAGGTGCCCCCCGTCCCAGCTCCCCGGGTCACTCACGCCGTGGCCGTGGCACTTGGCTGCGCTGTCACAGCTGGAGCCCAGCACCGAGTGAGGGTGACACGTGTTGTTGATGCAGACCTGGGARAAACCACGGCAGCTCCAGCCCAGCACTGCCTCAGCGTGCCAGGCTATGGCCCAAAGGGGAAGGAAAATACTCTTTAAAAAAAACAAAAATGACAAAGAAACCACGGTTCTGCCCTGGGGCCAGGTCATGTTTAGTGCCCACACCCCACCAAACCTTTAATGTGACATTTGCAAGTTTTAACAGTGTTTTTAAACATCACGCACACGCTGTAAGGAACAAGTGTGTCTACAATCTTGTTAATATTTACAGTTTATATTTGTCATTTTAGATGATTACRAAGTATTTCCTTACCTTTCCAGAGCCACATTTTGTCCCTGGAGAAACCAGAATTGGATCCCTCGTTGGGGGTACATTCAGRTAGTTCAGAGAGACACACAAATGCTCCCGCACTCGGGCATAAATCACAGCAGCAGCAGTTGATGGGAAGGGCTTGTTGGATGGGTAYGTGCAGATCAACTTGCCACACCTGAGATTCCTGGAAAGCCAATTTGCAGAGGATGTATATCCAACACACACACAGATACTGCCTGCTGAGCACTGGAACATCAAACAGCACAGTCGGGTAAGAAAACATCAGCAGGACTGGGAAGGCCAAGAGAGGATCTGTGACATAAGGACAGACACCATAACGAGGAGAATACACATAAAGCTATTTATTGCTTCATTAGTCTCACCATAGATGGAGTCTTTACACTCCCTTTGACTGTCCAGTCCCAATTTAATATGCATTTTAGGGAAGCCAGTGCCTCCTCCCCAACGTACCTCCAAGCACAGGGGTCGTACTTGGGTCCGGCCCTTACCCCGCAGTTCCCAAACCTGTCCCGCTGGCTGTTGATCTCCTCATAACAGACCACAGGAGCRTTCTTTGAATCTACGAGTTTAACAATAATATTTGCTATAGTTAAAARGAAACAAAAGAACAGATTATGGTGTCTAATAACTTCATTTTTCATTATTTGATTAGAGGAAACATACCTATCCCTGCCCAAACCCCCAGCAGTCCTGAACCTCAGAAGTCAGCAGTGKAATAGCAAATGGAGAAGTTCTCTGATTGAGTTCTCTGATTTGGTTAACCAGAGCCAAAAGAGAGCCTGAAACACTTTTCTAAAGCTGTGCCCTTCCCTGCAGGTGCCCACTCTCACCCGAGATTGCATYGAGGAGCAGAGGCACAATCTGAGCACGGTGATGCCGCAGCCACCCCAGCCCCAGTGCCAGCAGCACAGCCCTCTGTGGTTGTGGTACCTCTGCCATAGAGCTGCTTGCACTGCAGGTCCAAGGACTGGCAGCGGCCCCGGTAGCAGTAGCCGGTGCCCCGGGCGCAGTTGTGCCCGTCCTGCACGTACACATCGGCGGGGCAGGAGGCGGAGGAGCCGCTGCAGAACTCGGGCAGGTCGCACTGGGCATCGGCGGCCGCGCGGCACACCGCGTTCCTGCGCATCAACTGCCGAGGAGGAGGAGGAGGAGGAGGAGGAGGAGGAGGAGGAGGAGGAGGAACTGCAGCTCCTAGCCTGAGCCCACACACCCTCCTGATGCTGCCCTCGGGGTCCCCTTTGAGGCACTGAGTGGCCACACGTGTGACACTCCCCAGCACAGTCCCCCAGTGATGTTCCCCCGAGGGCTCCCAGAAGCCCAACCCCAGGAACCTTTCCCACTGCACAACAGGAAGTTTGGCTCTATCCCTCAGCATGGGAATGTACTATTTCTTAAAAAAAAAAAAAAAAAAAAAAAAGTGATAATTATAAACATGTGCCTTACCTGACAGTTTTTACAACATAATCCAGAGGCACATTCTGCTGTTGGCTTTAATCTACAATTTGTAGTGCAGCACCTATCCTTCAGGCATTCCTGGGGACACACAGCAAACCCATATTTCACTTTTTTTGTACCCCCCAGTTCTCCTCCTGCTCCTTCTCCCCATATCACTTGGGCAATATCCAGCAGAACAAAGGGGCAAAGTTGTCACCAGATTGGTGCCACATAGAAACAATCTCAGACTCAACACAACCCTTCCTGGGCTGCTCCCATGCAGTGGGGCCCTGGTCTCACAGGTTCCTCACTCCCCACACAGCCACAGCACCAATGCAGGTTTTTTAGCCACGCTCCCCACCTTGGCTGTGCCGCAGTCGCACTGCTCGCCYGGCTCCACCACTCGGTTGCCGCAGGTGGCTCTGCTCTGGCGGGCCAGSCGGGCCAGCCGGGGTCTGTCGAAAAGGCACGCGCCTCGGCCCTGCTTCAGGAAGGTCTCAAAGTCCCTGACACTGCAGTTACTAAAGGCTTTTGCCCCACTGAAATGTCTAAAATAAAGCAATGATCAGTTTATACGTTGCACATTCACCGCTCCTCAGCCTCTCCAAAGCTCTGTGCAGGTCAAGGGTTCACCCGGACCCTGGCAGAGGGTGCAATGTCCCCAAAGGTCTGTCMATTCACCTGAATAACCCTCATTATTAACAGAGACTGAGAAACGTTCACAAGTACCTTCACTTTGGAGAGCAAAGGTCTCCTTTGTCAAATTAAATACCRAATTGCTATTTAATGAATTCTTTTTTTCTTCTTAAAGGAATAAAAGCAGGTGTTTCTTCACTGAAAGTGTGGTCAGAAGCTGCTGCTCAGGGAGGTGGTGCAGTCCCCATCCCTGAAGGTGTTCAGGAAATGACTGACATGGCACTCAGTGCTGTGGTCTAATTGACAAGGTGGTGATTGGTCAAAGGTTGGACTCAATGGTCTTAGAGGCTTTTTCCAACTTCAGTGATTCCATGAGTCCATGATTCTAATTTGTTGCAATTTTTGCAATGGAGTGACATTTGTTGAGGACACCTCTGACACGGGGGTACCATCTACCCACCCCAGCCCTCAGCCCATCYGCCCCAGCCACTCACAGCGCCTCGGGACTCATGACACACACTCGCCCGGGGCAGCTGCAGCCTCGGGAGCCATCGGGGCTCATGCCCAGGCTGCGGCCCAGCACCTGCGCCAGCAGGACAGAGAAGGACTCCAGTGTCACATTGCCAGGGTACTGGAGGGAGGACAGAGATGAGTTACCACAGCTGAGCAGAGATCCCAGCTCTGGACACAGATATCCCCACTCGCTCCCACCCTCCCCTGTTCCTGCTGCCCGTGGGTGACAGCCATGTGGGCAAACAGGGGACAAAGAGGGGACAGCTGGGACCATACCAGGGCCACTGTGGCAGCAGCATCTCTGTGACACGCCTCTCCTGGAGCCACTGCGCCCATGAACCCTCCTTTGTCCCTGTACCTGGAACAGAGCTGTGGTCACTGACGGTCCAGGGATAACTCCTCGCTCCTCTTGGTGCCATCCCCAGGGGCAGCTGGGGCAGGGTCTGCATGGCAGAGAGCTGGGGCAGGGTCTGCATGGCAGAGAGCTGGGGCAGGGTCTGCATGGCAGAGAGCTGGGGCAGGGTCTGCATGGCAGAGAGCTGGGGCAGGGTCTGCATGGCAGAGAGCTGGGGCAGGGTCTGCATGGCAGAGAGCTGGGGCAGGGTCTGCATGGCAGAGAGCTGGGGCAGGGTCTGCATGGCAGGAGACTCGTGCCTGGTGCCAGGCAGGGTCCAGGAGCTGTCCCTGTCCCCAGCCAGGGCAGGTGAGAAGGGACAGACAGCACCATTGCAGCTGCTGCATCGCCACCAAAAGGCTGGCTAGAAGGAATGTCTTGGAGGAAATATTTCAGGAATATTAAGGATTCAGGAAATACATAGGAAATATGTTTTTTTTTTTTTAAGTATTTGTCAGGGGAATCCTTTATATTTCCACTTACATTGGTTTGACTGATTGCTACAGGCAACTTTTAACACTCATGAACCTTTATCTTACCCTAAGAAAGAAGCAATGTCATGYGCCCGTGGCTCCAGAGACAACTGTTTCCACTGTAGAAATCGTTGCAGAAGGTCATCTGTGTCCCCTGCTGTTGATATTTTATCCCCCTCTGCCCACAGCTCCAGGGAGGACAGCACAATGGTGACATTAAGGGAATTAAACATCTGAAAGTATAAGAAAGGAAACATCTGCTCTCRCATTTTCCCTTCATGCACAGTCACTGCTCTGCACGCAGTTAAAATATTGGAAAAGCAAATTGCTGCTGTCAGTGGCTCAATGACATCTGTAGCCAAAAAAATGAATGCACCTAAAAATTAGGGAGATATAGCAAGAGGCCTGAGCCATAGTCAAAAAACTTCCTAACAAGTGTTAGGGCTTTTAGGAATAAATTCTCATTACACACATGAACCATAAGACCACCTAAAGCAGCTTGGAAAGAGGCAGCCACTGCTAACACCAACATCGCCCTCAGCCCCATCTCACTGCAATGCAAACCAGACTTTAGAACTTACATTGTTGATTAAATTGAAGGCCTGAATTATCTTCTGYGTCACAGCATTCGGGTCTGATCCCATGTAGTTGTACTGAAAAACAACCCAAGAGGACACAAGAGCAGACAAAGTGCTCACCAGGATGAAGCAGAATGATGTTGGAACWCTGAAATGATTCCCAACACCCAGCCATGGAGTCATGAGCTACAAATCCACACTCCTTTCCTACAAAATCCAAGGTACATGTAAATTTTCAAAAGGGAAAACAMATCTATATAAAAGCTGGGAAATGTTACCAGTTCCATGCTCACAGAGGTCACGCAAAGACAGGGAAAAAGTGGCTGGCCTGGACTTACCAAAGCCTTGTCCAAAATCATGTACACTGTGAGGTATTTGGGAGATTGTGCAGCAGCTGAGAGGGGCTGAAAGAGAAAATGGGCTCCAAGTACAGATTTCTGCATTCTCTGCTAACCTCCCTGCTGCTGTTGGCTGTGCTGCTCAAGTGCCCCAGCAAAGGGGCTTGGGGTGTCTGCCCAAAGCTTCCAGCAGTGCCAGACCCCTCCTCATGGGACAGGGATCCTGCAAGCAGGCACCACTCACCTCATCATCCCTAAGGGCCTTGTCCAACCTGCTCCAGGCCTGCAGCCCTGTCCTGGGGGGGCTGTGGGCCAGGAGGGACCCTGTCCCCTGCTCCTCGCTCACTCGATACACCACATGCCGGAAYGCAGGGGAGTAGCCCAGGGGCTCGATGCCATAGCTCACGTTCTCAAACTGCAGCAAACCCCTGCCAGGCACCAGTGCCGGCCGTTTGCTCCTGGGCACTGGGACAGCTG